TGTCATAAAACAGCATGTGTGTTACTGTTACATGAGAAACTATCTGTTCTGTAAGCCTTCACCTGAAGTACAATAAAATATTAAAAATAAAGAAGTCAAAAAAAAAAAAAAAATGGGCAAAGTACTTGAATAGACATTTCTCCAAAGAAGGTACACAAATGGCCAATAAGCAAATGAAACATATTCAGCATTGTTAGCCATTAGGGAGATACACATCAAAACCACAATGAGATACCACTTCACCTTCAATAGGATGACTATTATGTATGTATAAACAAAAACAAAAATAAAAACCAGACAATAACAAGTGTCGGTAAGAATATGGAGAAATTGGAACCCTCATGCTTGCTGGTGGGAGTGTAAAGTGGTGCAGCTACTAAGGCAAACAGTTTAGTGGTGCCTCAGAAAGTTAACCATAGAATTACCATGTAATCCCTAGAAACAATTCCATTCTTAGATATATACCCAAAAGAATTAAAAGTGGAACCTTAAACAGATACTTGTATACCAGTGTTCACTGCAGCATTATTCACAATAGCCAAAAGCTGGAAACAACCCAAGTGTCCATCAACAAGTGAATGGATAAACAGAAAGTGATATGTATGCACAATGGAATATTATTCGGCCGTGAAGAAGAATAAAGTTCTAACACATGCTATGACACAGATGAATCTTGAACCTAAGTGAAATAAGCCAAGCACAAAAGGACAAATGTATGATTCCACTTACAGAATATCTGGAATAGAGAAATATATAGAGTGATAAGGTAGGTTAGTGGTTACTATAGGCTGGGAGTAGGGGTAGGAGGAGAGAATAGGGAGTGATTGCTCAATGAGTACAGAGTTTCTCTGTTTTAGGTGATGATAATGTTTTGGAAACAAATGGTGGTGTTTGCACAACATCATGTGATTAATGTTACTGTATTGTACACTTGAAGATGGTTAAAATGGCAAATTTTATGGTGTGTATAGTTTAACACAATAAAAAATAACTTAAGAATAATCAGAATAATCAATGAAGAAAAAACTTAATCTCGGATATCTTCATTTTTACCCACAGGATAATAGTTTCTTTATTTATTAAAGGCCATTTCCTGCCCCCTCCAATTTCTCAGAACTGTAGCATAGATTAGGCGAATAGCTAAATCTCTGTGACATGAGTCCCTGCTCCCCCAATAATAGCCTAGAGCAAGTGAAATGGAGAAAATCACAATCCTAGCCCAAGAATTAGGTTTGTGTGGCCTTGATTTAAGCCCTCTCTGATTGAGAATGGTCTCAAAGGCAGGTAGGAGGAAAATCAAACCAACTGGGGTAGTAATGTTTTAACAATTTCCTGCCCTAGAAATGGTGGTGTAGCAGTTTGACACAATACAAATGAACCTGCTACCTTTTACTTATTTATTTTTCACACAAACTCTGTCTTGAAAAATAGCCAAACTTTAAAAGCATTAAGAACTAAATATATAACTTGGTATATTGTTCCAGAGTCTGGATTTCATGAATTTTGAGGAAAGTCCAGATTACTTGAGGCAGTTATTTTCATGGTTTTAAGCCAACCTAGTACTGTATCTGAGAAAGACTATAAACACATATGAACAGATTATTATTTTTCTTGGCAGAGTAAAGAAAGAGCGTTTTTCATTGGAGAGTATGACAGATAATTTAGGGGGAATATTAAATATGAAAAATGTGTGTTGGGGGAGCAGCTGGGTGAAATGAGGGTAGCTGGCCGTGAATATTTGCCCGTAAGGATTATTTTCAGCAGTTGCCCCCTCAAAGCTTGTCGGAATTTTAAAAATATGCTTGTTTCTATTCCACTTGGTGAGTGGGATCTATCAGGGCCAGGATCAGAGATGTCACATTATGTATCTGCCACCAGAGCATGAAGGAACATTCTGAAGAGGGAAATTACTAACGTTTCCCATGATCACGAAGCAACATGTGCTCGGCTAATTACTGTTCTCTGTGACTGCTCTCACATCTTGAAACTCTCCATGACCCAACTGCGGAAATCCTGTTTGTCTGCCTCCCACCCTCTCTCCCCCAAAGAATGAAAAATAGCGAATTGCAAGGCTGGGCTTGTTTAATGAATATGATTTGTTTTTGTTGAACCAAAGACCCAAGAGGTTTTGGAGGCTGTTAGCATGACGCTAGCTTTGTGAAATGACCTCATGGTCCATATCTTTAGACAAGTTTAATGTGGAGGTGGATATGATGGCTAGAGGATAACCCGTCCAAAGACATTTTCTTCATATTTTCCTACAGTGACCTATGGAAGTTGGCGAGGCAAGTCTTCCTGACTTCAGGCAGAACTGTATCTAACATGGGGCAGACATCTGGAGATCTTTTGTTTTAATAAGAATGTCCTCAAGAAGCGGCTGCCTCCCTTTGTGACTCGTCCCTTTTCCTAGCGTAATCTTCCTGCTGTCTTAAATCAGTCACCAGTAGCTGTCAGGTTGATTCCAACTCATGGTGGTTCCATGAGTGTCAGAATAGGACTCTGCTCTTTTGGGTTTTCAGTGGCTGATTTTTCTGAAGTAGGTTGCAGGCCTTTCTTCTGAGGTGCCTCTGGGTGGATTTAAACCTTCAACTTTTCAGTTAACAGCCAAGCATATTAACTGTTTCCACCACCCAGGGTCTCCAGTCTTACTAACCCCTAGTGCTGTAACTAAAGTCTCTTTCTGTTTTTTTCTGATCCCAATAAATGATAATCTTGTACTATAAATATAATTTTTGGTGTAATGTCTTTTCATTATTCACTTATTACATTATTAGAAATGAAATGAAGCCCTGGTGGCACAGTGGTTAAGCGTTCAGCTGCTAACCAAAAGGTCGGCAGTTCGAATCCACCAGCCACTCTTTGGAAACCCTATGGGACAGTTCTATGCTGTCCTACAGGGTCGCTATGAATTGGAATCGATTCAATGACAATGGGTAATGGTAGCAATAAAATAGTTTTACCTTCTTCATATTAAAGTGACTTTTCTCCTTTACAGAATTTTTCTTCACTCCTCCCACCACTAAAAAAAAAAAAAAAAAATCAAAAAAACTACCTTGGTTTGTCAAGATAGATTGAACATTGCTTTTTCACAATTCAGAACAGAAGGTGATTTTGATAGCAGCATTGACATGGGTTTATTTTGATGACTATCTGGCTATATTAATTAGTAGTAAGATGTTATTAGTATTACAGGGGAAAAAAAAGCGTCAGGCCTGAAAACAGCCTTGATTCTATGGAGAAAGAAACTTGCTGAGTATGGATAGTAATACTTGCTATCCGTTTAGATGTGATTGCCTGATGATAATACCCAAACTAATTAATAATGACATATTAGTTAACATGTTGCCATCAGCAGGTGGTGATTTGAGCCAGGGTGAAAACTGCATGAGCTAAAACAAATTGTTGTACCCTAGAGAAACACACAGAATTTTTTAAAAGTCTTTTGATTATGTTAATGATGTCTGTACTATGATTTTTTTTTTTTTTTTTTTTGAAACTTATATTAGGAGGCTTCTTTGAGAGATAAAATGGGGTGGGGGATTAGAGAGACAGAGACTTGAAAAACAAAACAAAATTGATTCAACCTTTTCCAAATCTTTCCTAATTAAAAAAAAAGCTGAATCCATGTAGCACATTTTGTGCGTTGTATCAGAAATCATGGGAAGCTGTCAGGTACCCTCATTCTTCCTTTGCGCTCTGTTTTTCCTCTTTGTCTTTGTTCATTCTGGATCTGTCAGGGGAGTCCCAGCACAAGGCAGAGGTGTGACAGATGGGCAGTAAATTGTAATCTGCTGCGTTCTTCCAGTTTTGGAGGAGTCATTGTAATAGTGAATGGGTTAAAACTGTCAACACCTATCAGAGCTTGGAGATAATTAGTGCAATATAAACCTGAGAACATTCCCGTTGCTGACCACATGACTAATGAACCCTGCTAGGTTTCTGCTGGTTAATAAATTCTTATTAACCTCTTTCCATTTCATGTACTGCTATACTTTTTAAATGTTTATGTGAAAAGTTGACTGTTTATGCATGCAAATAATTATGACCAAAAATGATTGTGAACCTTTGTTATTTTGGAAGATGCATTTTGAATTGGCACTTGCAGATACAAGTTGAATAGATATGTACCCTTCCAGTTGAGATTGGTAGCCTTTAGAATGTCTCCCACTGTGTTGACTTTTGCTTTGTTACTATGTTTTCTAAAATGTACTATTGAGTGATAATGATGTAGAAGCATAAACTATTATGAGGCTTAACTATTTAATATGGTCTTTCAATTTCCTTTTCTTACAAGAAATATAAAAGGAAAAGCAGTCCTTTTTAAACAGGCTAGAGAAGAATGAAATAACAGTTTTCATTTATTAACTTGAAAGGGAAAATTAATAGATGAAAAGCGGAGACTCTAAAAGCTGTGCTCTAAAGTCCACATGATAATCAGACAAGAGCAAGTATGACTTAAAGATAGGAGCAGGACTCCATGATGGACTAGGGGACGAATGGGTAAAGGAGAATTTAAATAACCCAGATATGTTCAAATCCACAGGTCCCAATGGCTGGCATCCTAGAGTACTTAATGAATTGGCCGAAGTCATCACAGAACTGCTAGATATGATTTTTGAAAACTCGTGGAGAACTGATGAGGTGCCTGAAGACTGGAAAAGGGCATATTTAGAGCCATCTTTCAAAAAGGGAAATGGATGATGACCCTGGAAATACTCATCAGCTTAACTTTTTGCTTGGAAAAATTCTGGAATAATCAACTTAGTAAACTGGGTAACTAACTTATAATAGCTAGAAGTAAGGCAGTGAAATATCACACTTAAAGAACTGAGTTCATTTTTAAAAGACACACTGTTGTGAGATATAGTCTTATACATATTTTGGGATTTCCCCCTCCAAGCTATGAATTCTTGATGAAAATAGATGAGGCTGGCTAAGAGGTTCACGTAATAGCTGATTTTAAGTATAGTATAAGACAATAGTAGGTTTCTGGCGTTAACTAGCAATTACAGTGTATCGTTTCTAAATTAGCTTTTAACTTGAGAGCAGTAGCTTTAATTTTGTATTTTAAGATACTTGTTCCCCTCTTCCTATAGGAGCATGTTTTTGTAAGTGGAGATATTTTATGTAATTCTATATAGAATAGTTGGGTGAGGGAATTCTTATTATAAGGTACTTTATATAGTTATTTCGTATATAGGTTCAATAATATAGCTGACAAATTAAGGAACATCACCAAGGGAAGGAAAGTTTCTTGTAACTTAGTTTTTTTAGTTTAACCTGGCTGAGCTTAGTTGTAAGACAGGAATGTCTTGCTCTGACATACGTGGAGCAAGAACTAGACTTTATAACTTATTTTCCTCACTCTGTGGAGACAGACAGTGAGTTCCAGTGCCTCCCTCGCTAGGTTTCTGACCTCAGACCAGTTGCTGGGGAGTTAGGCTGGCTGTGAGCGTCACGAGCCCTGTGTAACTGCAGCCAAAAAGGAGAGTAAATTGAGGTGGGGGGTAGCCATTAAGACAAATCTGGAGTTTTTCTAATGCTTATTGTTCTTGCCTTTGTATGTTGGCAGTTTTGTTTTCTGCTTAGAAAATACAACCAGGTTGATGGGACCAACAACCTGGTTGAGAGGAAGCCATGGAGATCATGATACTCAATAAGCTATTGGAGTGGCAGATGTAAGAGATACAAGTTTACGTCAGCATTGTGATCAACAAAAGTAAACAAAAACTCGCGGTCGTCGAGTTGATTCCAACTCATAGCGACCCTATAGGACAGAGTAGAACTGTCCCATAGGGCTTCCAAGGAGCGGCTGGTGGATTTGAAGTGCCAGCCTTTTGGTTAGCAGCCAAACTCTTAACCACTGTGCAACCAGGGCTCCTCAGCAAGAGGAGGGCCTCTCAAAGGAAAATAATTTTATGTTAATTTCTTCCTAGTCTTTGTTGGTCCCTAGGAATGGTTAGCCAATTAAGGAGTCCGTTAGATCTCCAAAGGTGATTTCAACACAATACTGCTTTAAAAAATCTAATGAATTAAATAGTTTAGTTAATTCTAGAGATTAATTCAGGCAAGGAAACTCAGTCTTATTCTTAAATACAAATGTAAAGAAATTAAGTTCTAAAAACATGCACAGGTTTTCCTTTAAACTAAACATAGCTTACAGTTTTCTGAGGATTGTACTCCAATCAACTTTTCATCATTTTTTTTTTTTTTCTCAAGTGAACTGAGCCTTTAAAATGTCCAGGCTAAATTTTTTTTTTCAGAGGTGGGATGTGTATATAGATTAGAGATATAATTTATTGTGATAATAAATAGCTTCCTGTGTGAGCCCTCATTTCCAGGTGCAGCATCTGTGGCAGATTTATTTCGCAGATGTGCATTTGCCTGCATTTGTTGAACTGTTGCTCGAGAGGACTCGCGTTCTGAAAAATCTATTATTTTCACTGTGGGCATTATGATACAATCTACTGCAACCCCCCAAAGGGCTCTTTGCTCATTTAAAGTTTTATTTTCTATTTGAGTAATGTCTAACTTTAATTTTCTTGTCCAATTTAAACCTTCTATTTGTTGCTGTGATTGGAATTTGAAAATAGCTGATGCTGTACCTAAGTTAAGAGTCACTGTCTTAAAGGGTAAAACCACTGATGGATTTTAAAGACTTTTAGTTACATACAGCTAGAGGAAGGAAGCTTTAAAATAAGCAGAAGCCTATTAATTCCTTTCTATTAAATTAAGATAAGGCAAGAGTTAGAATATAGGAGAATGGAATTATTCTTACCATGAATTGTATCTGGATATAATTATTCTTAAGAGTCATTTTTTTCAGAGTTTTTTTTTTTTAATCTAAGCACTAATGATATCCTTAATTTTGAATGTAAAGGAAATAGCATTTGATTGAGGGACAGATATGTTATCAAAACTAGAGGATTATCTTGACTTACGTTTCCTAGAACATCAAGAGAGACTAAGGACAGACGTTCACTTCAAAATATTGAGGAATTCGGAGAATTATAGCAAAATTTTCTTGAGTTCACCTTAAAAGAAAATTTGAGGGGAAGCTGAAGAACCATTTTATTTACATTAAATACTTCTCGGCATAAGGAAGGCATAATTTTAAGCCCCCTTTCTTCATCAGAGGGGAGAGTTGAATCAAAAATCTTGGGAAAAACTGAATTTATAGTAATACCAGGATAGCTGTACTCAAGGAGCTTCTGACTGCAGGGAAATTTACAGCAGCTTGGTGCTGTGAACTAACAATAATAAGCAATGAGTTTTTACTTTGGAATTAGTCAGATCTTAGTTCAGATTCTAAAATTATCCTAATATTTTTTCCTGTAGTGAACCTGCTAAGCACATAAGCTGTAGTGTAGCATGAGGAATGATCTTGAACAAGTATTAAATTCATTAAAGCTTTTTATCCTTGTCTGTAGAATGGGAAAAATAAATACCTCTCATAGCTTCTCTTACAGTTCTTAAAGGAGTTCTGGGTGGCACAAGCGGTTAAGAGCTGAGCTACTAACCAAAAGGTTGGAGTTTTGAACCCATCTAGAGGCACCTCAGAAGAAAGCCCTGGTGATCAGCTTCCCAAAGGTCACATCCATGAAAACCCCCATGGAGCGCAGTTCTATTCTGAAACACATGGGATCTTCATGAGTTGGAATCAGCTTGACTGCTGGTTCTTAAGAGGCTAAAATGAGTTTCACAACATAATGCTCACCCAGTGCTTGGCCCAGGGCTAGGCACGTGGTAGGTGCTGACTTCCTCTCTCCCTTCCCTTCTTTCCTCTCAGTTGCTTTCCTTACTTCCTCTTATGGAGGAAGAGATTACCTTAAAACTGACTAGAAGACTCAAGCTTACAATGACACACCCTTACTGCTGCCTTGAAGCCACTGAGTAAGGCCCCTTTGTTTTCTTTAGGAAAGCTTTCCAAAGGTGACAGTGCCTGCTCATAGGAGGTGTTCAGTACATTGTCTATTGATTGAATGAACAGAATGTGATATTAAAAAGAAAAACCAATAAGCAAATTCCTAAGTTCAGCTTTTCAAAAAGTCTGGGGAAACAGTCACATAAACAAATATGAAGGTATTTCTTTACCTTTCCTTGTCTTATAAAAGCTTCAGATTTAGAAATCTGTTGTGCAAATTAGCAAATGGCATATTGCATTCACCTCTGATTTTATGGCTGTGATTTGCACCTTAGGAGTGCAGATGGGCACTCTGCCCCCATAGCTTCTTCTGGGGTGGATCCAGCCGAGATGCGAAGCAGATGATGGTGGATTGGCAAACTCTTTCTCTGTGAAGAAAAAGCAGATGTGCCAGTGACTGGGAAACACCTGCCTGAAATTTGAGATGAACATGCCTAGATTTTTCTCTGTTATTGGAGAATAAGAAGAGAGGTTAAAGAAAATAAAATTCTTTGGCAAAATGTTTGAGTTATATACATTTTTAATTGTAGTATTTAGTTAAGTACTAAAATACCATGCTCAGGAAGGTGGAAAGCTTCTAGATTTTAAAGCGGTTAAGGAATAAAGAGTAGATGGTTCTATCCAGGGACACATAAGAGATGTGAGGGAGAGCCTAACTCTGAACTATCATTTCTCAGTTTATTCTGAGGATGAGTGTCCAGGGAATTCTTAGAAGAGATCAGCTGACAACTTGTGCTTAGAATAAAGTCATACGGGCACACTCATAAATGCTTTATTAAATAAACCAAGAATAGTTGTGTAGAGCAAAGCAAATCAGCTATGCAGTCTTTTAGAATTTTCTTAATTTATTCTTATTAGCATTCTCCATAGTCATCAATTAGATATTCCTGCATCAGATGTTTTACACTACCAGATTCTTTGATTTAAAAAATCCTCTTAAGATTTTTATTTTTACTCTCTAGTGAGATCAAATCCAATAACTTTTCTAATCCTGATCATATTTCCATAAAAGGCAAAAAGAAAAAAAGAAAAGACAGAATGGTAGTTCAGAAAAATGAACAACATAAAAATAATTATCAAAACAGGTAATTTTCTGTTAAAATTCCTGCAAATGAAGTCTTGTTTCTTATTATTCCCATTAAAAGATACCTTTTTAACGAGGTTCACAGGAAAACAAGAGGTTCAATTCCACATTAAGAGCTGGGTGGTATTTTTTTGACAATTTTGCCAAAATTTCTTCCGTTGAAACAGAAGGAAGGAAGTCAACATTTAAACATTATTTAAGACGGGAAATGTCTTTTATAGATGTATTCTGTATCATACCCATTTTTCAGGTGAATTTTCCCTTATTCCAAAAATGAAATGCTGTACTGACTATCTTGGGGGCAAAGTGGTGTATTGATTGGGGCAAATATTAGAAATTATAGTGTTCATTGCAGTTGTTGCCCTGTGCCCTAAGCTTGATAATATTCTGAGATCCTATCTGGGCTTCTGAAGCCTTTATTCATTGAAAAGTTCTGTCTGTACAGAAGTGGATCACAGGCCTGAAAATTCAACACGCGTACATCTAAATAGCCATACACAGATTCATTCTCATTGATCGCTGTCTTTTGGTTTTGTAAATTTAATTGCAATTGACCCTTTTTTTCCTTTCAGTTATTTTTTTTTAAAAAGGGAATGTA